CGTACGTACGTACGTACGTACGTACGTACGTACGTACGTACTACGTACGTACGTACTACGTACTACGCGTACACTCCTACTCCTCTCTCTCTCTCCTCTCTCTCTCTCTCTCTCACACACACACACACACACCCATGCACCTATGCAGTTTCATTCCAATTTAGATAATTCAAACCTTGGCCTAATGTATTACCATGGTTAATACTTAGGCATCTATGTCGGAGACAACAGGGTCATCCATTTCACCCGAGGCCGAGGCCAAGAAGTGGGCACCGGGACTGCCCTTGACATCCTCCTTTTGAGCTCTGCCCCAACCCGCACCCTCGATCCCTGCCCCACCTGTGGCCATTCGTCAGTAGAAGATGCCCACGGTGTCGTCTCCTCATGCCTTGACTGCTTCCTTGCTGGCGGTGTCCTCTACCGCTTCGAGTACTCAGTCACTCCCGGGGTTTTCCTTGCTAAGGCACGTGGGGGCACGTGCACCCTCGCAAGCGCTGACCCTCCCGAAACCGTGATCCATCGAGCCTTGCACTTGCTAAACCATGGGTTCGGTTGCTATAACGTGTTCAAAAACAATTGCGAGGACTTTGCAATATATTGCAAGACTGGCTCACTTGTGTTGGATAATGGGAGGATTGGGCAAAGTGGGCAAGCAATCTCTATCTTGGGCGCACCCCTTGCTGCAGTGTTCTCAACGCCACTGAGGGTCGTGAGCACGAACATTTATGGGATGGCAGTTACAGCAGCTGGCGTTTATTGCGCGAGTCGGTATGCATGTGACATTAGTGTTCGCCCTGATGTTGTGAAGATCGAAGTTGAGGAGCTCACAACAAAGCTGGCAGCGATGGCAGGGATTGCGGCAAGTGCTGGCTTTGCACCGGTTGCGCAAGCTGTTAGGTCAGTGGATTGATGTGGTCTCTCTGATTAATGCTTTATGTATCCTTATATTGATTGATGTGGCGATGTTAATGTAAAGACATGTGATGCTTATGACATGGATTATGGGACTTTTTGTGATGTGGAGCAGTAAGGATTTAGTTTCAATTTCAGTAGTAGTAGTAGTAAATGAACAAAAGAACTACTGATATAAATATTTTGACTAGTTGTGTAAATTTTACTTCTCTTTGACGAAGGTCAAATAGTTCTGCTTTAGCTTCTGACCAATGGGAGCCTCTGAGAAAACCAGTTCGGAGAATTTTTTAGCAACTGGAATAAGATGTTCCTCAGCAAAAGGTCTGTACAGTGGCCAGTTCTGTTACTTCTTTTATCTCAGTCATTTTTACGAGAAAACTGTTGGGGTCAAATAAGCTTTTACTTTCAACTCATATTTTATTTAAGGTGGTGCTTAAGAGGAAGAAAATTTTCTTCTTTTTTTTTAAGATTTAAAAGCTTGTCTTGTGTTTTAACATTCATGTTAAAACCTTTATGCTAAATTATAACATAACGATGAAAAAAGTAAGATTTATCCCTATTAAGATCTTTGTCGGTGATCAATGCTCAAAATTCATTATAATAGGTTATTTTGAAGTGAAATTAATTTTGTTTCCTGTTTTAATCGTTACTAAACTGTTACTGTTAATTATGTTATGTAATTATTATTTTGACTCTTTGAATTTAAGCTTTCATGAAAAAATGAATATTAATTGATTTTGGAATACATGGAAGTGGAAGTGGTTAATTATTATTATTCTTATTATTATGATTTTGATGGTGTGAATCCATATAAAAGTGGTGGATGTTAGTGATTTTGATTAATTACATATGGAGTATACGATCCTATTTTTATGTTTTCACAAGTATTGTTATGATTTATCTTAATCATAAAATTCTCTTTTTCTGTTATAATTATTTACAATATATGAATTTTCCTTGTGGATGACCAAATGTCAAAAGCATTTCTCTTCCTTGACTTGGGTTCAGTGTGGAGTTCGGGTTAAGACAGAGAGCATAAAATGGTTGACTAACATTATTAAATTGTTTTATGTATGGTAGCATAAGAGAAGGATGATTTACTGAAGCATCAGGCTCAATTTGTGCATATGGGTTAGAGAGGAGAAAGAGATCGTAATGAAGGGAAGTATGAAGTTAGTTGGCGACCATGAATATTTTTTAGTATTTGTGACCTAATTCATAGGTCATTTTCTAATTTAGCAAGAAAACTACTTTAGATGACATTATAAGAAGAATAGAATATAATGACTATTAATCTGATGCTTCCGAAATAAATGAAGAGTAAAAGTTTTGATTGCTAAGAGGACATATATATACATGATTTTTTCCATTGAGTGGGTTAATGTGCATAGAATTATGGAACTTCCATTTTCTTGTTTTGAGGTAGGAAACTTTATTGTCTCTGCTGGTGTATTGGGTGTGTAGTTAAGTAAATATGATTTGTGTGGAGTAGCCATCAATAATGAGATGGCTAAAGAGGTGTCTATAGATACACGACTTTGCATTAAGGAGGCTAATGTTTGTAGAATGTGATTGTCTCTGCTGGTGGATTGGGTACCGGAAGGACCTCTCACTATAGATGCAGTAATGGTCACTTCTACATTGACCATATACTGATTGTTTTGAGGTTTCCTCAAATGCATGTGATAGGGTTTGCAGTGCTTGCAATGGACCTGCATGGTTGGAATGCAGTTTTGAAGGTAAGGTGTTCATAGACCGGTCTGTCCTTGATGTGAGACAATAAGAAGTATCAAAACAATGTGGTGGAGATATGGCCCTTATTCTTGGCAGGTTTTTGAGATTGCTATTATCTGGTGTCTCGGATGAGTATGAAAGGGATGAAATTTTTTAAAATTTCCATATGGAAGCTAGATTATCGAGGGGATGAATCTAAGTCTTCGTAACTCTAGTTGATTGCAGTCTTTCATAGCTGATGCAATATTTGTAACTCAGTTTGATTGCACAGATTGCCTGCCTTTTGATTCTGATATTTGTACTCTCCTTTGAATTTTAATGAAGTTCATTATGCAAACAGGAAGCCTTTGTAATTCTTATTTGGAAGTTGCAGATGAAGACATCTGGAACTTCGGATTTTTTTTCTGTATACTCGACTTGGATGAAAGATTGAATAGGATTTTAGGATTTTAGTTATGCACTTGTCCATGACGCTGGAGCAAGTGTTGGGCTGGATATAATCCCGGTTAGGATCTGTTTGTCCACTGTGGACAGTGGATGATACAGTTCACATCTATGCTTGACTTCAAGGAACAGTAACGCAGAGGGGTATGCGTGGTATATACAGAAATGGTGTATAACTGCATGATTTAAAGATTTTTTTACTATACATATTTGGTTGGATGAGCCATTGATTTTCAAAAGCAGTTTGAGGGGATGGATACTGGGGGCATACATGTTTGATTATATTATTGCTGTGCAACATGCATGATCCAAGGTAGTGGAATCCCCTATCACTTGCTATTTATGATTGTGCGAAGTGGAGTCGAGGTGGGTGGCATTGAAACATTGACTAATTTTGGCTTTTTATGGATTTTCATTATGCTTTGGTTGTTCCAAACTTCAAAGCAAAGAACTTAGACTCGAGCTCATCATGAGAGCAAGGGTCCCCAATACTTTTACTATTGAGACCCTGAACCCAATTAACTTGTCTATTAAGCGTAATGAACGATGTTGAGATGGCTTCTCATGATGAGAAGCTTTTCATGCCATGTGTTACATAGTTCCTAAGATTTATCTGTATCTTGCAAGTTGGCATTAAGGCTGAAGGTTGAATTTGAGAAGAATTTTCTATTGGTGGGAATGGATTAGAATAGGCTTCTTGGAGAACATGTTGTGTGCGAATGCTGCCCAGGTGTGGTTATGTTTGTCTTCGGGAGGTTTATATTGCTGAGTTTTCGAAGGTTAATATGGATAAGGCATTTAACATCCTAGGTTTGGGCTGTCTTTCAGAGGATTTTAACATGTTTGAAGATAGCTAGATGCAAAAGTTTCAGGTTGTCAACTTGTCTGCAACAGTTGCTTGATGATATCGTTATTTCTAGTTGGGAATTGAATGAAGAAACTGGAATTAAGATTCAACGAGAGCTTTACTGGGGTTATTTCTGTGAGGTTTTTGTGTTACGAGGAGGTTCTTAATCATGTCAGCTGATTGGTTTTGGGCTGTAGGCTGTCAAGCTACGATTATTATAGCAACCATCTCCATACGTGAGATTCTAGTTTTGATTTTTCGACCTCATGTATGGAGAGGTGTTCGAGATAAATGGGCCACCTTTTTCTTTTTGAGATTTTCTTCCAGGGATTCTGATCATTCTCTAACCCATTGGACATGGGGTACGTGACTCAACTTTTGTGGGGCTTTGTACTTACTGAAAACTTTCAAGTAGAGTCGTCCTTTCGTACATATATTTTCTTTACAGATTGAATTAGAGGACGAGGCATATGTTAAGATTTGTTAGGCTAGAGGAAATAGCGAGTGGTGTATTGCATTAATAATGCAGTTGGCAACATTTTACCTTCATTTGCAGTCTATTTAAAATTTTAAACTAATTCATTTTACAGTGCCTTCAACCTTTCTCTCTCTAGGGCCATCTCAAAAGCCAAGCTCATCTCTCTCTTCAGTTCCCTTCTTAGGCTATCCTATGAAATCCTCATTTTCTATGGTCGCTTCTCTCTAACTTTCAACTCTTTGTGGGTGTTCACCGCTTAGTTTTCTGGCAGCGCTAATAGTCCATTCTCGTGATTCTTTCTTTTGTTTTATAAAGCGAAACCATAAATCCAAGATTTGCTTAATTGGAGGTTTTGGGGCTAATGATCTTTACTTTCAAGTGGTCTGTGGGGTTATGTTAATCTTTGGGGGCTTTGGGGTGGGAGTTTATCCAAGATATTTGAGGTCTTCAGCTTTTAGAGAGAGATTGTTGTATGGAAGCATGGAATTCTTTGACCGATGGGAGTGATACAAAAAAAAAAAGCTTCGAGAATGGCCAAACAACTTTGGAGGGGTGGAATGAAAACTCCAAAATTTTGATATTTATATACAATAAAAATTGCTTTATTAAAATTTGGAAAGCATTCAAACAGTCATCTAGCAAATAAAATTTGCTCTTGGTATTTTTACAGACCATTCAGACAGTCCACCTGATTTTTACTTCTGCACGGACTTCATCGAGTACTGGCGGCAATTTTTTCCTTTTTTTTTGTTTTGAGTATTCAACTTAATTTTTTTTTTTTTCAAATAAAATATAAGTTGGAAATGTGCAAACCCGGGAATATGAAAAGAAAGAACTGCCTATTTGCCAAGTGACTTGGAGGCATTAAATTGAATAAACTGCAAATAATCAAATTAGATTCCAAAAGAGCAGGAGCAAATGAGCTGTTGAGTAAACCTATTTTGTTGCTGAAAGAGGAAACTGGTCAATACGAAAGAGAGAATCCATAGGTAGTGCCATAGTAAGCAAGGCGGGGAATAACATTATATCGGTTAACCAGTATTTGTACTAAATCGGTTTTGTCAAAAAGATTGGGTGTAAAATTGTGGCACAAATACGAGTCAATAAATGAAGCAATTTGGTGATGCACGAAGATTTCAGTTCTTATTTATTTATTTTAAAATAAATAGAATTTTATTTTTAAAATTTTATAAATAATATAATTTTTTCTTAATAATATATATATTTATTATCACACTTAATAGTAAATAAATAAAATGGTTTGAAATATTATTCTAGTATTACTGATTTTAAGTTTACTTTTTAATGCCCTTAGAATTAAGAGCATAGTAATGAAAAATACTTAAATTTCTTTTAAATTTAAAAAATATGGGTACTTTTGACTTTTATTTTGAGGGGGGTATTACTTCTGTTTTTTTTTTTTATATATATCTCTTTATGTGTCAAAGAATTAAGGTGGCATTTTCCTTTTTGTACTCTCTCTACGTAGCATAATCAGTTACACGTCCTTGATTGCTTATGGGAAGTTATAAAATGTAACAGGTAACCGCGTGAGTTTCGGTATTTGAAAACCCGAAGATTTATGGTGCTTCGCTCAAAGAGAAGCGACTTAAAAAAAAAAAAAAGTGTATGAAACAAATCAGATATGCAAGGATGACATATGATGGAATTATAGAAGGAATTATAGTTTACAATAAGTATAAAGATACATTAAAGTGATCGAACAATAATTATATATCATTACTTGATACTATTTAGGGCCTACCGGGCAAAAAATTGTAATCCCAGGTTATGAGAGAAAGAGGCCCTTACTATAGGATTGTTATTAACATAAGCATAAAATCCATTAATGCAAAAGAATTGTCAATTGTTTTGTGTTACATGTCAATGAAATAATAAAATTTATTAGTTTTTAGGGTATCTTGATCGATTTATATTTTACAAATTATTATTTTTATTAGGTACGTTTTGATGTGAAGAATGAACACTTAAAATTTCAGATGATTTGGATTTGTAGAAAAAAAATGAAAACTCAAATACAAAATGAAATCGTTACCGTTAGATTGGTTAAATCAATCTAAGTCGTTGGCAGATAAGCAGTCAGCTTGTGATT